CAGCCACTGGTCAATCAGCTGGCTGAGCCACCTCCCTCTTTTTCGCTGACCCTCTGCTTTACCCAGCATGACATCCTTCTGCAGGGACCGAAAGTACAAGAGACCAAGTGTGACCCTCTTCACCTCTAAGGAGCATCTCAGCCGGGCTTTTTCCAAGACCGCTCTGTTCCTTGCCCTGGCAGTCCACGATGCGTTCAGTCGCCTTCCCCACTGCCACGGCGCCCGGTCTCCTTGGGTCCTCCGTGCCCAGCTTTTCAATGCGTTCGAAGCAATTGAAAATATGATGGCTTGGGTCAGGCGCACCTTAGTCTTCAAAGTGACTTCCTGGCTCTTTAAGACATTGAAGAGTTCTTGTGCAGTAGATTCCCCACCCCCCACTCCACCCCCCAGGGTGGGGTATTGCTTCATTTCGCAACCAGTGTTTCCATGGGCGTTGGTTGTTGACCCAACTAACTAAAATGAAATCCTTGATAACTTCAACCTGTTTTCTGTTGCTTCTCGGTGCACCCGGCTGCTCCGCGGTACGGTTGGAAGGAACCGTGCGTCATCCCTAATGGTCCTCCTCCCTTTCAGCAAGTGCTTCACCCCTGTACCACCAAGGGGTTCCCCGTCATGGCTGTTGCTCTCGGTCTGGGTGAAGCCCCACAACAAGGTTGTAGGTGTCCCCTCCCTGGGCCTGACGCCCACGCGGCTGTCCCTGGGCAGACACGCTGGCTTGCCATTGTCGTTAGGTGCCATCAAGTCCGCCGCGGCCCTTAGCGACCAGATGCACAACAAACCCTGCCCCCTGCTTCCTCCTCGCCCCCGTTTCTGGGCCGGAGCCCATGGTTGCAGCCGCCGTGGCCATCTATCTCATTGAGGGCCATCCTCTCTTTCCGCCGCCGCTCTGCTTGACCAAGCATGATGGCCTTCTCTGGACCCTGGGCCCCTCTCATGGCCTGCCCCAGGTATGCCAGACAAAGCCTCATCATCCTGGCCTCTGAGGAGCACTCTCGCCATACTTCTTCCCAGACAGACTGGTTTGTGCTTTAAGCAGCCTACGGTCCTTTTCGA